CCCGACAAGTATTCTCTTTCTGATTTTCTATATTTCTTCTTTTCCTTTTTTTCTCCTTCAGGAAGCTTTCTAATTACAGCGAATATTTAACTTTTTTTTTCTCCTACTTCTGGTAATCTTAATAAATGCATCAAAATACTTGTACTTTCAGTACTCTTTTATTACTAAAATTCTCTTTTTCTTGTTTCTAATCTCTTTTGATTCCGTTGTCTTTTCTCTGTCTCCTATTTTATCATTTGATCTTTATTTTCCTTCTTCACTTTTTGTCTTTCTTAATTTCCCTTTAATTGTTTCCACAGATGATTTTGTTTTTTTTTTTTTTTTTTCTCTGAAGTATTTCTGTTCTATTTCCCTTTTTCTGATTCACTGAAGCCTGAAAAAGATTTGTTTTTCTTTTTTTCTTCTTAGGCTCAGTAATCCTTCTCCACTCTCAGAAATATGGAGGAGCGAGGTGGAGCCTTGTACTTCTGAGAAAGGATATAAAGCTGCTGGCATTTGCCCACCATAAGCAACAAGGACCTGCTCACAGGGGAAAAAGAAAAAAAGAAAAAAAAATGAAGAATCTCACTGGAGCCCCCTCGAGAGCTGAAAACTGACTTTCCGTGATGTGGAAAGAAAAAAAAAAGTAGTTTACACCATTTCAACAGATCCCGATTGCTCCAAGGTAAGCCTTGTTTATCGATAATGTAAGTGGCTTAGTGTGTCTACAACTGTGAAATTCAAAGCTGTTTACTAAGAGAAAGTGAAGTTTTGAAAGTAACATGCCTGCCTAGAAAGTGTACTGTGACATGCAGGGAGCTTGACTTCAGTCTGATACATTTTCATGCTTTCCCTGCAAATCGAAGCGCGTGGTCATTAACGCAGTAAATCACAGTAATGTGTTATGATCTGATCTGGCATTTATAAGGAAATAGAGTGTCTAGCCCTGGCTGCCTCTCCTACAGGTCATTTGTCCTAGAGGTAAAGAGAGTGGTTGTTCCCAAGGGAAGGGAAAGCTGCCCATTATGTCAGCTCACACCCTGGAAAAGGCTACTGATTTCAGTGCATCTGTTTGTGATGTGCCCTCTAAACGGGGTCAGTGTTATAACGGGTAGGAGAGAGCAGTTTCAGCCATGAGTGAGCACTCAGATAAATGGTGTAACTAACTCTGTCAGAGATGAATATAAAACATACACAAGATGGCTTCTTTTGTATCCGTTTTTTAAAAAAAGAAAACAAACGTATATAATGATTTTTTTTTTCGATCATTGATTTATATGCCGCACAGATGAAAAGCAATATTCCTATGATGCCTTTATCAGTATTCTGACAAGAGCTGCTTTCAAGTTAAAGACTGATAAAGAATGCCAACTTCTGACATTATTAGAACAGCCTTATCAGCTTTAATTTTCTTTTGTTTTCCTGTTGCCAAGGAAAGGCCGTTAGAAAGGAAATTATGATCTCAAATTGGTTAATCAAGTGACATGCACTTTTCTCCATAAATTACCATGGCTGATTTCTAGAGCGGTATACAACCTCACTGCCAAGCAAGCTACAGAATGTAGTAGAATTTGCAAATATCATATGACATCAGTCTTTAGGCCAGTAATTCTCAAACCAAGGTGAGCTGTCCACAGTGTCACATTACGGAGTTAAATGCACAAACTCATTTGTCTTGTTTGCCTGTACTTTTGTATGCACAGCTTTCTGAGCATGCTAGAGACCGCTAGAGTGTGCTCAATTATAAGCCTGGTAGGAAGCACACACGGTGGAGCACGGGGAGTGTTCAGGGTTGCTGGAAGTTTATTCTTTCCAGTAAATTAGGGAGCTTGTGCTCTTGTCATTGTAGATCAAAGTTAATTGACCTCATACCATTAGCATCAGCATACTTAAGGCATGGAGTTTAGGCAAAGAGCTGGAGAATTTAAAACCGTAAAGTTTCATTTTTACTTGTCTGTCTGTGCACATAAATTTTGGCTTCGAGCTTTGGGTGAGTAGTGTTTGTGCAGGCTCAGAGGATTTTATGCAAAAGTTAGTTGTGCACTGGCTCCAATATATTCTGTTTCAAACCAGTGTTTGCTTTTCTTCCTCTTTCTTCCATTTTTCTGTTTTTCTTCTTTCTACAAATTTACTAGTAGGATGAATGATCACCCACAGCATTTTCTATAAAACATAATTGACAGCTAATAATACTCTGTACCTCTTTAGCCTGGCATAGTTGATGTTTTGAAAGCCTTTACAAACATTAGCTGAATCAAGTGTCACCCAATCAAGTAGGCCGGTATTATTCATGTATTTTGACAGTTAAACTAGAAAACAAAATCAGTTTCCTTACGACCACAAGATGTTTGTGTGAAAGCTAAGAAGAGAACATGTATCTTCTGACATCTATTCCTACGCTCAACCATAGAAAGATTTTTTTTTCCATATACGAATATGATTATCATTGTGATTGAAGGATTGTGATTAACATTCTTTTGGGAATAGCTAATATGACTTCTTTATTTCTATACCAGAAGCTTTCAAGTATAATATATCATCTTGAGTACGTTATAATAGGACTGACACAAACAGAGAGTACGCTAAAAAATTCTTCTCTGAAGCTCAGCTGGATGTTAGCACAAATGTATAAGGAAATATGTGAACTGAAAGAGAGAAACAAAGAATGGTAGAGAAAGGTGAGGAGATGCTGACAGAACCAGCGTAAAATACAAAGAATGATAGGAAAAAATAGAAAGAAAGAGGAGACACTGAATTTATGCAAATCCAGGTTTAAGCTGTGCATAGGTACTGTGCACAATGTAATAATTAGACAATATTTAGTAAAATAAATGTATAGTATGTAGAATCACAAAAGTTTGGAGTAAACATACAAAACGTGTTTCCTGTCACAGTATGCATGGACTCTGCTCTCACTTCTGCCTATTTTAAAATCATAAATAATGGTAAGGGAATGGAAATATTCTGAATGTTCCACTGTTGCAATATGATAGTGCCATGTATTGGTGCTTATCAAATCACATCAAATCCTGTATCTGCGTGTTATTGGTGAATAGAAAAATATTTGGAGAGAAACTCTTAATTTACCAGTGACTAGCATTTCTGTAGAAGGACAGAGATCCAGAAAAAAAAATACCATGCAGAGAGTTATTCTGAACATAATCACCTTTTTTTTTCTTTTTCCTTTCTTTTATTTTTTTAATCATAGCGTATATTTGCAGTTTCCTCTTCCAAGGCTTTGGTATTACAGAATAACTGTTGGTGTTTAGTCACTTTCTGCACCAGTGATTCCATCTGCTGGGATTCAATTGATTTTTCACATCTCAGCATAAGAAGGCCCAGGCTGTGCCCTCTTGCCTGTGAGTGTGTGTGGTGGCACCTGCAGTAGGGGATGTCAAAGCAAGTGCTTTTAGGACAAGTGGAACAAGGATGGAAAATACCACAAAGAGCTTCCAGGCTTTGCAAAACTGCAGGCATTTTCTGATTTCAGAAGCCTGAAATGTGGATTTCACACATTAAGAGAATCTTTTCTTCTAATGCTTAAAAAAAAATGCATTAGTGTTCCTTAGATTGAAGAAAAAGTTCTTCCCTTGTACACTTGGTTTATATGCTCAAGACTTTAAGCTTTACATCAATTAATATTATTTTCTTATCTTATTGAAATATATTCCTGGGAAGACCAGAAGTTTAGGCATGGATGTGGGAGAAAAGGGGTTGATGCTATGTTGACTGAGATTTGTCTTTCTCAATGCATTGTGCCATCAGGCAGTATTGGTATTATCTGCATTTAATCGCTGTCAGAAAACTTAAAATTTTTCAATAGGCTGAGAAGAATAATAATTGGTTCTCCCTGGGTGCTGTTGCTCTCTTTTGCACTTCTCTGATTTTATGGTTTCCTAATATATATCTGTATGTGTGTGTGTATGTGTGTGTTTTTAACCAAAAAACAGTGAACCAGCAAAAGATGACTTATGTGTAGATTCACTGAGCAGCAAGATCTAAAGGGGCTGGACATAAAAACAACAACAACACCCTACTGCTAGTAGGCCAACAAATTTGAAATGGAAGAGGCATGTAGTAACTTAGAATCTAAGTTTTATCAACGAGTAACATGACACTGGTAGGTATGAATGCAAATCTCCTAGGAAGGAGAGACATCATAAACTGTATGTTGAAAGAAAGAATGCAGTCCATAGGGAATAGGTTAGAAGGAAGAAGTATGCAATGGAGGTAGAGAACTGAAGAGAGAGTGGCCGAAAGCTGTGCTAAACTTGATTTTGTCGTTTGCTTGTATACAGAGTTTTTTAGCTTCACAAACAGAAATTGAACAGGGGCGGCTAAGTTCTGCTCAGTCTTTTCTGAGGAGTGCATACACATTAAGCAGAGGGATGTGTGATGGTGTTGCAAACCAGCGGAACAGGCAAACCCACTCCATAAGTACTGAGAAGTGCTCCAAGAGGTGCTGTAATACCACTACTTCCTTGTGCTTTCTCCCTACTCCAAAATCTAAGCCGATGGATAGTAATGAACCCCTGAGGGGTCTTGTTTAATTTGCTGGTGGAATATCAATAAAAACGCTGACCTATAAGCTCTCTGGCTCACCATTCACAGATTTCTCTGCAGTGTGGCTTTCATTTGTTCTCATCCCTGAGAACAATAACCTGCTTGAAGCTAAGCTAATTTGGTTTGAGCAGGATGCATATTTGCACTTGCAAGTGGGAGGAGCCTAAATAGTTTGGCTGCTAGCAACAGATGTGGAATAAATCGGATTTTGTGTGGACTGGACTCTCAGCCACAGCCGAGAAGAACAGTGTCCAGGAAAAAGGGGCAAGACAAGACTTGTGTATGTAGAACTTCTACCTCTCTTACCGTCTCATTTGGAAGATATTTCACAAAATCAGGAGAAAGTTTCAGAATGACAAAAAGAAAAAGCATAAAGGAGATATTAAATGGTCTCAGAGTTAACCAAGGTGAATTTACTGCCACAGGATTTATTTCAGTCTCAGTGTTGTTCAGAAAATTAGTGGTCATTTGACTTTAATCTATCTAGCTTTTAGTTGTCTATGAAGGAAGAATAATAATAATGTTGTTTCAGCTGGTGGAGGCTTTGTATGTGAAAATACATGCAATCTCACTGTAAAACCTGGAGACCTGGAGACATAAAAATCAGTGATTTTCCTCCCAGTGCAGGAATGTAGAGCATGTGAATATAAGGTTTGGAATGATCCATTCCGTGAATAGTATTTAATATGTAAACATTTGCTAAATGAGGCAATGATTTTATAGGGAAAAGAGAGATGATCACGACATTTAGGATTGTAGCAAACTGCCATTTCATGGAGAAAATGAAGGTTATGTAGGCAACCTTACGAGTTGTGTTTCCTTTGTCTTACCGTGGATTTGTGACTGAACGGTTTATCAATTTTTATGTACTTCAGAATTAGTATTGCATATATATATTTAATTACAAATTATGCACACAGAGAGAAAGAGATGGGATGTTTTACTATATATATGTGTGTGTGTGTACATATTTTTATGACGTATTTTGAATACTTTGTTTTATGTGCATATGCGTAGTGCTCAGTGTGGAGTGTCAGCATGCAACAGCACTGTTGCACCCACCAAGAAGCAGACAGTAGGATTCACTCAAGCTGTAGTCAGGCTTTGCTCAAAGTTTCCCTG